CTATAATTGGAGCATACCTTGAGAGTTGTTAGTAATAGTTTTTGAATTTAACATCGAGATGGACGTCGATACTGAGTTATTTGAGTGCGTTCCATAGTTTTCATTCATTTATTTTTTAGACAAGACGGGAATCGTAGCAGTCTAACCGCAGAATTTCATCGACGACGATGGAAATCTCAAAATATTGTTATTACGGAACTCCGTTCGAGGAGATGGAAGAAAGTCTGTTTATCTATAAAAAATTATTTTTACTGTTTGTTATTAATGTCTGTCTCGATGCTAGGCGAAGGGGTTTCGAAAAAACCGCTAACTATTGAAAATCAGATCGTCACTGATGAAAAGGGCAGGCGCCGTTTTCATGGTGCATTCACCGGTGGATTTTCAGCCGGTTATTTCAACACGGTTGGCACTAAAGAAGGTGAGCATTCTGTCATCGTTGGCAATAATATGTGAATAATCATTTCCTTCACTAGTTTGACCTGTGAGAGCCAGCGGTTTATTGATTTCCTTATCCATTCTATTCTACTTTAAGTACGAGGGCATCTGTCTTAAGTCAGCGGGTTCCTCAGAAATGCTCTTGCAAGCTGAGCAACGTTTAAGCAACAGTACCGGGATGACACCCCAATAAGCAACAATAATCTGAGTAACCTGAAAATTCATGATTAACCACATATTAAATCTGGTTCAGATGAGACCTTATCATTCTTCCACAGCTTTGATGCCGTCACTCACCATGCCTGATTTCGAAAACTGATCTTTGAAAGAATTGTTATGATCGGTTTGGATTCACGTAACTATCATGTAATTATTTTTTGTGATATAATTTCGATCGCTCAGTCTGTAGAAAATCTAAGATTTTTTGCATGTATTATGTGAAGCGATCACCTGAAAATCACCTTGCAAGGGTTGTTCACTGCAGAAGATCTAGAAGGCGCCAAAATAGGTTTTAGATAAGCCAGATAACATGCTGAACATGGATCGCAAGATTATCTCATTACAGCAGAAGAAGAAAGGGACAATCAAAGGAATATTTTGCGAAGGTGCTGCTTAGATACTCCTCATTCTGGTATAGGGCTCATTCAGTCAAGGAAGTCAAGGTGATGTTCCATGTTTTGAGCTGTTAAAACTCGCAGTCTTTGTTGAGAGTGTTATCCGTAAATTATATGCACCATTGCTGGTAGTTTTATAACCTGATCAACATCATCCGCTGCTATCACTCGGTTTTGTGATCGGTGATATCTGATTATTTTCTTTCAGGATCGTTTTTAGTCGTATCACATAACTGTAAACTGTTTACGATCTATGATATTTGCTTAGCCCAATTTCATATTGTGCATTTTTACCGCGTCTCATCAGTCCAGTCGAATAGCTTACTGCCTGCATTTGCGAGCGCACCACGTCAAAATAATACTGACAAAAATTTTAACGATGGCATAACCCATGGTTATAGGTCAATTACATAACATTGAGATGGGAGGAAAAAAAGAAAATACATGAAGATATGAAAAAATTCATGGGTCAAAAAATAAATAAGCTAATAAGTGACATCTAAATGTACAGTTCAGCGGGATGGAAGTGACCTACTTTTAATGCCGCCGACGTCTGTCTGTGCAAAATGTGGCATTTGCATTTCCAGCATCACAAACGCAGCAGTGCATATAACTTATTGAAATCAGCGTAATATGATTAATATTTAACTGACATTTCGATTAGTTTGTGTCTTCATTGTTGACTGTTGCTGCCATTGGCAGCTGTCCATAACAATTATTATGCAATCAGGAGGGCAATTGACCATGAAGGAATGTCATCTATCATGCATAGATCGAAACTTCGATAGGGTGTTTGTCATTCTAGAACCTTTTAATCAATGGGTACAAAAAGAGTTAAAAAATCTTTCTAACTTAGTGGTAGTAATCGTGGAGAAAGTCACGAAAGTATGAAGTCTGCTAGCCACTGTTTCGCATAACACGGGCATATCTTCCCTTATCAAGGTTAAAATGATAAAGAACTTCATGCCATGTATGATGTCATTTAGTTAACATTAATAAACTTTTACACTGTTTTAACTGTATTCACCCTATTATATTAACTGTATTGGATGATTCGATGATCAGATTATTTGCTCATCAGAATATGCAGAAAGTGGAGAATGGAAAATGCTGGAGGAGTGCGACATTACTCACACCCTAACGAGCACAAGTTCAGTAGCAGATAACGAATATTAATTGTACTTGCTCGATCCGTCGGTTTCGATGCCCATTTATCTTTTCGTTTCGCGGAGGTAGCAGCATCATGCAGTCTTCGCGATCCTGCGCCAGCACCTGAGCTTCGGCAGAAGGCAACCCGAGTCTGGAGCAAAATGCTTAAAGACACTTGCTCCAAATTTTTCTTGGCTTTGAGGTTTTTGGCCGGTCTGTCGAGTAAATAATAGTTGTTTTGCCTATTCTTTTTTATGCATTCAAATTTTTATTGGCTGCTTGAAACAGAAACAGGAGAGTAGACACCATCATACAATTATGATATTTCATCATGCCTTTTTTTGAAAGTTTTTGTTGGCAGAATTTCAGTCGTTTGTCAGTACCAACAAGGAATCATAACAGAGTTAAGCCCCTTTCTTAAACTTTCTTCTTCACTCTTAAACCGACTTTTTTTCGAATTCATCTTTACATGTCTTTAGGTTGGGTACCGTCTAATTTTGTTTCCAGCCGATCGAGTCGCTCTTCGAAGAAGGACTTTCTTCCAGAGGACTTCATGGATAAAGAGGCATGAAAAAACTAAATTTAGTTTTTTCCTTGTTTCCTCTGAACATGTCGCTTTTCTTCAGGACCTTGGAGAACATGGCATCGCCCCGCGGCTAATTAAGACTACCAGTTTCTTTACCGAGAAGGATGTTAACAGCGAATCAGAGTCGCGCAGCCAGGAAAGCCGTGTTTGGGACCATAGGGAACTGGCGGCCGAAACGGAAAAGCTTGCAGAGTTGTTGCAACCGGTGAAGTGAGTTCCCTCAACTACCTCAAAGTTGTCTGGATAAATGCAAAACATACTCATTGGTCGAATAATGTGGTACTCCTCTCAACTTACATTGCACATGTGATTCATCGCAGATTCATTTGACAAGTCACTACCAGCTTTCTGGATCTCACAGATGTTGTTCAGATGGATAAAAGGGTTTTATATAAATTTAAAACCGAATAAAATTTTTTTTACAAAAGTACCTGATAGTTCACACATCATTTTAAATCATAATTCAAAAAAATAGGTGCCTTTTTCAATTCAACGGTTAGGTTTTGCGTAATTAGAAAAAAATTTGAGAAATATATCTGCTAAATTATGCATCTGTCTACTGCTTCTATTTTCCCAAAAGTTTCGGTCTATAATACATGTTTAAGCGTAGTTTATTTTGATAGTTATAGAGATGAGAATTAAAATTCAGGAAATAAAATAGACTGAGGCTGAATAAAGCGTCCTTTTTTATAAACTGATGCTAAATGAAATAAACAGCTATATGGAGTATGCTTCGGATGCCGATGGTTGATTTCACAACTCCGACGTTTTCAGGCCTTGTGTACGCGTGTACGTATGTGTTTATTCGACCTATCTTTGGCTAAGATGCTTCACTGATTTCGATATCGTTGGCGAATAAAGCTGCATAGATTCTGAAACGTTTCAACATGAACCAGAGCCAACCGTTATCCTAAAGAAACTCTTCAGTAAGAGTAGATTGAAATACCTTT